TATATTATTATATTATTATTATTATAATATAAAGAAACTGAAATTTTATTAAAAGTTGTCTTCACATATAGCTTCTATAAGACGACATACATCAGTAATATCTCACCTAAAATTTCCTTTATGTCGGCTCCTTGCTCGTTGTCGATGTGACCTTCAACATACTTTTCTAGAACCAGACCGCAGTCCACTAGAGTGCTAAACATGCTCTTCAACTTGCCAGAGGTGAATGTCGGCGACAGTTTGGTCCTCAGGTTCCTCCATTTTACGCCACCGATAGCAAAGAGGTGGCCACCTAAAAATATATTTTAACGGTTGAACAAAGAGGTGTCTTCTCCAAACAATAGAAAGTGTCAAAATGGTGTCAAACTTTGAGCGCCGATAGTGGTCGTCAAAATGAATAAAAATCATCCTTATCTTCTACGATAAAGTTCATCCAAAGCTTCTTTAATTGACTGTTTTGTAAAGAATGGAACAAAGTTGAAACGAAAAAGAGCATTTTAAACATAGGAAATATTCTCTTTACTTTGATCAGTAGACACTAACTGCTCCCTTGCACAATTTTTCACACCTTGAACTATAGAAAAACTTACTCATAGGATCGTCTTTTTCATTACTATAATCCCCTCTTTCCACAAAGTTATGGAAATCCTTTGTCATCACTTGTTTTACCAGATCCAGATCTATTGCTACCAAGTTGCCATGAGTTAAAGCATAGATACCAAAATACTTCCATCCTAAAATAGATCGCAAAATTAAAATCCACAACAAAATGTTTAACGCTTGCATCTTCTACAAAAGTTGATTCCACTCGAAGGAAATACACCGAGTTTTAATGATGACGATAAATTCCTGTCTTGACTTTTTGTGCTCACCTTTAGGTTTTGCTTGCCTGTAGAAATCGACCATTTGTTCTCCAAAGGACTTATTTGTACTAAATGGGGATTGAAAGTTACCCCAAGGCGCTACAGGCTCAAGATAGGGTATGTTCTTCTTTTTCCAATACTGGTAAGACCACGAGAAGTATGCGTAGCCCACTGCTATCACCGCAATCAAAAGACCTAGCAAGTCCAGCAACAGGGACCCAGAATAAAAGGCCATGCTCGAGCTGCTGGAGAATATTTATATAATTTTTTAGTTTTAATCTATTTGGTCAAAATATTTTACGTGATTGATTCTGTATGGGTATTATTAGAAGTGACAACTACCACAATTTCCAATATACAAGTTCGAAAATTGAAATAAGAACGATAATTGTTTTTCACTTCTAGAGTATTATCTAATTTATAGGACAAATGTAAAAATTTATTGATGTCTTGTGTAATTCAAAAAAATGTTGAAAAGTAAGGAGTCTTGCTGCCGATTTATTTCCCTTCAAGTGGGGAGAGCCATTTCATCGCCAACTGAACTCGATGTTTTAAATTCGTGACACTGCTACGCAAACTAAAACATACACACCAGCAAATAATACCATTTTTCTCAAGAATGGCTTTCTGTAGGGGTCAGCCTCAAGAGATTATAAATAAAACGACCTTTTCAATGTTGCTGCCCGTTTTTAAAAAAATACTACCACCGTAAAAGTTTTGACCGCTAAAAGGGAGAGGTAACCTGAGAAAACTATCACAAAGTATACAGGGTGTTAAAAAAGAGTGTAAAATATTTCAGGAGGTAATAGTATGAACCAAAATAAGCAGAAAAGTCTTAATAAACATGGGTCCGCAAAGTAACGGTTGCGGAGATATGGACCACTATTCGTTTTTCAAACATTTTATTTTATTAGGAATAAACCGACAAAGGAAGCTTTTAACAAACAAAAAACAAAGTTACAGAAGANTTTGGTATGCTTTTTGAGCCAAAAGTTGTCCCCCTTAGAAACAAATTTGACCTGTTTTTGGATTTTGCCGAAAAGTTCTTTACTACCCTGTAATGCCTTGCGGTACGTTTTCGATGGACTACCCTTTATAATTTTTTAGTTGTAATTTATTTGGTCAAAAGATTTTACGTAATTGATTCTGGATGGATATTATTAGAAGTGACAACTACCACAATTTCCAATATACAAGTTCGAAAATTGAAATAAGAACTATAACCTTTTATCACTTCTAGATTATCTAAAATGGCCAAGAATTATTAAAAATACTTTTATATTTTATCTCATTTATAGGATAAATCATTTTTTACCTCACTTCAGTTAAAAAATTTATTGATGTCTTGTGTAATTAAAAAAAATGTTGAAAAGTAAGGAGTCTTGCTGCCGATTTATTTCCCTTCAAGTGGGGGAGAGACATTTCATCGCCAACTGAACTCAATGTTTTAAATTCGTCACACTGCTACGCAAAACAAAACATACACACCAGCAAATAATACCATTTTTCTCAAGAATGGCTTTCTGTAGGGGTCTGCCTCAAGAGATTATAAATAAAATGACCTTTTCAATGTTGCTGCCCGTTTTTAAAAAAATACGACCACCGTAAAAGTTTTGACCGCTAAAAGGGAGAGGTAACCTGAGAAAACTATCACAAAGTATACAGGGTGTTAAAAAAGAGTGTAAAATATTTCAGGAGGTAATAGTATGAACCAAAATAAGCAGAAAAGTCTTAATAAACATGGGTCCGCAAAGTAACGGTTGCGGAGATATGGACCACTATTCGTTTTTCAAACATTTTATTTTATTAGGAATAAACCGACAAAGGAAGCTTTTAACAAACAAAAAACAAAGTTACAGAAGATGTTCAAAGTGCCCTCCGTCCATTTCCAAGCAGGCACGACATCTTCGTCTCAACGATATTCGAACTCTTTCGAAAACACCCTCCTTGGTTTGGATTTCTTGACACTTTTGATTAATCCGTAGCTGCAGCTCTTCCAGGCTATTTACAGGAGTACCATACACTAATGTCTTCAAATATCCCCAAACAAAGAAATCTAGAGGGTTCAGATCAGGCGATCTTGGAGGCCATAAAACAGGTCCGGCCCTTCCTACCCATCTATGTGGAAAAGTTTGGTGTAAATGCTCTCTAACGGCCATGGAAAAATGAGCTGGAGCACCATCATGCTGGAACCACATTTGTTGCCTCTGATTCAAAGGAATGTCTTCCAAAAACTCATACAGTGTGTTCTGCAGAAAGTTGAGGTAAGCAGCGCCTGTTAATCGGTTTGGTAAAACAACAGGACCTAGAAACCTGTCACCTACAATACCCATCCAAATGTTTAATGAAAAACGTGCCTGATGTCCAGATTCTATTAGAGCATGAGGATTTTCGTCGGCCCAAATATGCGTATTGTGAAAATTAAACACTCCATTTCTTGTGAACCCGGCCTCATCAGTAAAAAGAATGTTTGCAAGAAAACGAGGGTCTTCAGCATCATGACGTAGAAACCAGCGGCAAAAAACCAAACGTGCTTGATGATCATTTATTGGATTTAAGGCCTGTACTCGTTGCACATGGTATGGATAAAGCAGTTGCTCGTGAAGGATTCTCCAAACAAGAGGACCACTAATTCCTACCTCGGCTGATATTCTCCGCACACTCGTACCTGGATTCTGCTCTACCAGTGCTAGAATTTCTTCTTCTGCTCTAGGAGTGGATACCGACCTTGGTCTTCCGGATAAATGGCACTGTTTGCTCAAGGAACCGGTATCACGCAATCTTTGGTGAATTCTTCCAAACATGCGTTGTGAAGGAATCTGGCGATTTGGATAAGCGTCAACATAAAGACGTCGCGCTTCGGTGGCGTTCCCATTAGCACGACCATACATGAAATGCATGTCTGTTAATTCTGCGTTAGAGTAACCAGCCATAGCGAAAGAAAACTTGTGCACTGAGAACAACTGTCAAATACGTACTGTTTATTTCACTAAACATCAACCAACTATTATAAGAAAATACATAACGTTTTTGCAAAATAAAAAAGGGGCTAAAAAACATTCCATATCTCCGCAACCGTTACTTTATTGAGACTTTTCTGCTTATTTTGATTCATACTATTACCTCCTTAAATATTTTACACTCTCTTTTTAACACCCTGTATAGATTTTTTTATTTAACTTTTCCCTTCGTAGATCGTATTTATTTATCGTCGTGAATATGCAGTCAAACCTTGTATGAATATGAATGAATAAAAACTTTTTTATTAATAGGTTTTTTTCAACAAAATGTTTTTTTTATGATAGCGTAATCTTTCTGGAGCCTATTCAACGCAGATATTTTGTTAGAGTTAATCAATTTCTACTTATGTTTAAAACATATTTCCGTCAGCTAATAAATATCTTCCGAAACTACACAAATGTTTGGTAATTACCTGAAATTCGTTCCAACGCGGATAGATAAGCGTTAATATGGTTTTATTCAGATAAAGTAGCAACTTATCAATATTTCCGGATCACTAATTTGTTACAAAAACTTAAATAAAAAAAATTAGGCAATACTGGTTTACTAACTATAATAGATATACTTTTCTGTCACACTTCAAATTACATACTGCAGATAATGGACCAGAAGACAAACATATATATTATATTTTATTCTCGTTGTCACATATTTCACAAAGAGATATCATTTATCATATTTTATAAACCTTACAGTTTGCGCCTTTATTTTTAATTATCGTCAAAAATTTGTCGATTATAATCCAGAAGCCTTCGAATCGTATCTTATCTTCTTCATATCTTGGATTGCATCACAAACAAACCATAAGTTTTTAAAATGTCATGGTGATTTGTCAATTATCAATTCCAAGGTTGAGGTGTTGAGGAGCTACGTTAAAGCAAAGACTGTTTTCCAGTTATCTCAGTAATTCAAAATTGATTTCACTAGTGCTTTTTTTTTAACTAAACTAGTGGTCTTTTCAACTAAATGGACATTCTTCCAAATGTTACAATCATCAGTGATATTTGTACAAGTTTAGTTGAAAAAAAGCACTACTACACGTAACTTCAGGTGAAGAATTTCTCGAACCACCTAAAATACATGTGCACTAGTGTTTTTTTGAGCTAAAAGGGTATTTCTGTAAATTTTACAAAGATTATTGATAGTTTTGATCGCTTAATTGAAAAGAGAACTAATATGTGTAAGTCTAGTTAAGTTAGGTTGCACTGTGCACTATAAACACTAGTGTTATCTAACTAAATATATGTGCACTAGCGTTTTTTATGTATACACTAGTATATTATGAGCAAATTTTACCAGTTTGGTTGAAATGAGTAATAATACAAGTTTCAATTCTTGTTAGCACTGCTGTATCCACTAGTGCTATATCTAACTTAATATGTACGCACTAGTGTTTTTTTAGCTAATGTGCATAAGAATCTTTAAATATTCGTTTGCTTTTTACCCGTTTAGCTGAAAGGAGTAAGTAATAGTAGTTAAATACTAGTGTACACTTATTTGTGCACTAGTGTTCTTCTCAGCTAAACGCCCATTCGGACACATTTTACAAGGGTCACTAGTGCTATCTAATTACACAAGTGTGCACTAGCGTTTTTACAGCTAAACGGGTATTTGTAAACACTTTACAAAAACTGTTGATATTTTTGCACTTTTCCTTAAAAAGAAAACTAATACACACTCTGAGTTGCAGGAAAGATCAGTGTACTGAATGCACTAGTGCTATCCGACAAATTTTGTGTGCACCAGTGTTTTTTTTTTCTGTTCAGCAAATTTAATAAAAATCGTTGGTATTTTTATGTGTTCAATTGAAAAGAACGCTAGTGCACGCAATTTCAATTGGAAAAGCACTCGTACATTTCAGGTACAACAGCTGTTCAATAAAATTTGCACGCATATAAGTAATTGATATTTCAGTATTTATAGATTTATCTTTAACATTGTCAATCAAAATAAGTATATCTACAGGGTGTTTCAGGATTAAGCCGAAAAACTTTAAGGAGATATTCCTCATAAAAAATAAGAAAAAAATCAATTATAATTTTTTTTCCAGAGATGCTTCATTTTCGAAATTATAGGGCGTTAAAGATTTTTAAAAAAATCGAATTTTTTAAATAACTTCTAAATGAAGAAGGCTATTTAAGCCAAATTTGGCATGACACATCTTCTTATCAGATACCATTTTTCCATAGAAGTAGAAGTCCCGCAAGCAACCAGTGAAGGAGTTATGGGGACTCAGACTCATTAAATTATAAAAAAAATAATACGGCCCTGTTGAAAATAAAAAATGACGCTGTTTTTAGATAGAACAGTTTGTTATTGACAAAAAGTGTACATTCACTTTTTTCCTAACTCTTATAGTTTCATGGCAAAATTGATTTTTCAGAAGGGTGCTTCTGGATTCTGTCGATAAACTTTAGGAATACGTTCCTCATAAAACCTAAAAAAATATAATAAAAATATAGGCAACATTTACTTGAAGGGGAATTTTAAACTAAAGAAACACCCATATTTGGTCCTACGAGAATCCACGGGCGGTAAGGGAACATAGTTTTCAGCATGAATTCCAATGTAACGTATGGTTGGGTGTGTTGGGACACTATAATTGGTCCCTACTTCCTTCCGCATCGGTTAAATGCTGACATGTTTACCGAGTTCCTTGAAAATGGTTTTCAAGATCTGTTAGAAGATATTAAGCTTAATACTCGAATTTTCAACTACAAACCGCCTGAAAAAATTTAGGAGTATTGCAAGGGTCGTTGCATTGTCGCATTACGACATAGTCACATTAGATGTTAGGTACTTAAATATTTCTATAGTTTTCATCATTTTTTTTTCTAAAAAAAAAACACCCTATATCTCAAAAACGAAGCATCTCCTAAATAATTTTAATACTATTGGTTAAACCCAAGAGAAGGGGACACAAAAAGGCTTATTTGACTAACATACTCGAGACTAAGACCATTTTTAATAGGTATTATATTTTTTTAGGTTTTATGAGGAACGTCTTCCTTTAAGTTTATCGACAGAATCCAGAAGCACCCTTCCGAAAAATCAATTTTGCCATGAAACTATAAGAGTTAGGAAAAAAGTGAATGTACACTTTTTGTCAATAACAAACTGTTCTATCTAAAAACAGCATTATTTTTTCTTTTCAACAGGACCGTATTAATTTTTTTTATAATTTAATAAGTCTGAGTCCCCATAACTCCGCCACTGGTTGCTTGCGGGACTTCTACTTCTATGGAAAAATGGTATCTTATAAGAAGATGTGTCATACCAAATTTGGCTTAAATAGCCTTCTTCATTTATTTCGAAAATGAAGCGTCTCTGGAAGAAAATTTATACTTGATTTTTTTCTTATTTTTTTTATGAGGAATATCTCCTTAAAGTTTGTCGACTTAATACTGAAACATCCTGTATAATAAACCGTATAAAAAATATTTATACATACATTTATTTTTATATCACGCTAATTTTTGATGTAATTATAATTTAAGGACGGGATTTTGTACAAAAAATATCGCCCAGCGTGAATCACGAAACGGGACCTCGGCAAGTGCTGCTCTAGCTCTAGCGGTCAACGCTTCAAGGTGTGTTGTTTAATAACACAGGCCGACAAAATTTCAAAAAAAAAAATTCCAGAGATCAGACACTACGCTTCCGAAGGCATTTGGCGCGCTGAATCCGAATCTGGCCTCAGAATTGATCCATCACCCTAGGTTTCTAGTTACTAGTTAGTAGTTCTATGTTACTAGTTATCCTAAATATTGTAATATATTGAGTAATGTCATGATACACTTATTATATTTTAAAGCAATGATTTACTATATTCAATGAACCAATTGGGTTATTGGGTTATTTGGGTTATTGGGATTAACCTTCCTGGTGGCTAGGGCTTGTAGCGCTTAGTGTTATTCAGTTACAGGGCTTGGGGTTAACCTTCCTGACATCTAAGGCTCGTAGCGCTTAGTGATATTGTGTTATAGGTCGAGCCATGGTTTAATAAGGTAGCTATACTGATCATCTTTAATCGACGATATCTCCGTGAAAAATAAAGCTTTTTACAAATAAAAAAATGCGTTTTGAAGGGAAAAGATAGTAGTTTCCAATGATATTTTCAATTTTGAGAAAAAAATTTTTTTCGCCAAGTTACATAACCTTGAAAATAGCAAAAATACGTGATTTTTGCACTTTTAGGTTAGAATATCTCGGAAACCTAGGGTGATGGATCAATTCTGAGGCCAGATTCGGATTCAGCGCGCCAAATGCCTTCGGAAACGTAGTGTCTGATCTCTGGAATTTTTTCCTTGTTGGCCTGTGTAATTTACGCTGGACCGATATTTTAACAGGCCTCGCGCCCGATTGTTCAGGAACGGCTCCAATTTGTGTACATATGTACAGTCCTATAAGGAAAGAGAGTAAAGATTTTATTAATCATTCATAGATTATCGAGGACAATAATATTTTTTTTTATTAAGTAGGCAATAATTTTTAGTTAATAAGCTTAAGGGCCCCATATTCTTTAAATAGTGTTTTCCACAAAGACGAATAATTTCAAACATTTAATAACTGAATAATCTAAAGCTTATCAAATAATAGGAATGTTATGTCATACCATCTGGTTATTTTCAAAGACGCCGCAGTAAAACGAATAAACAGGTGCAAAAAACGATCAAACCATCAAGGTTTTAGGTACTGAAATCTACGAAAATACTAATTTTTTTATATATAACTCTACATGTAAATATTCTTATAACATGTACTTGCTTAGTCCTACATATGGAATTGTTTACTTTTATTTATAAGTACGTGAAAATAAATCTTAAAATGTGGGGTTAGGATAACAGCAAACACATGTTTTACAAACGCTTTTTTCTTAGTTATTATTTTATTTGAGTAAATTTAAATAGTAACAATGGATAAACACAACACCAAGGATTTTATTTTTGTGCTTACTTTTGTTGTATACGTTTTAGTTTTCAAGATTTCAGTACCTAAAACGCCAGAAATTTGACTATTTATCGGCCAGGGATATGGCCACCTTAAACAATCTTAGAATTACCATTCCTTTATTATAAAAGCAGATATAATTTTTAAAATTCCATGTAGTTTCTTCTTCAAAAGCTTAAAAAAACGTATAACAGGAATAGTCAACAGTCCAATGTTTATATTTTCACGTTAACAATCCGATACGTAAATTACCTGCTATTTCCAGTAAAAATGATATAACTTGAATTATTTTTTTACTTTGGTGAGTCGTATTAATTTAAAAAACACTACCTAATTACTAAAATATATAGAAACTTGCTTCTAATTACGTTTGGAGAATAATATATATAGTAGGGTGGTCCAAAAAAAAAAAACGATTTTTTTTTTCGTGTCTCTTATGAAAATATGTTAGTTTATCATGCTTTAAGAGCCCCCTCAAAGAATCAGCTCAAAAAAATTTTTTTAAAGGTCGCTCAAGATTTTTAAAAATTTCTAAAATCGTCAAAAATTTAATTTTTTTTGTTTAATTTTTTTCTCATTATTTTATCATTTTCTAGGTTGAAAAAAATCTCGATTCTGAAAATTTCAAAGCGATATTTTAATTCCTAAAGGTCACTCATAATTATTTTAATTTTAAGAGTTAAGCGACCTCTAAAAAATAAAAAAATTTAAAAAAATTAAAAAATTACAAATA